TTTTTCACTGTCGACAAGACTCGCTGCGATAACAATGTAAAAGTTGCAGGCATTTTGTAGTTTTGCTAAGGTGTACCGCTGACCAGCAAAATACTGTATCGCGCCCCAAAGAACGTATTTCCGCGGTGTCGATTGGCATACTTCTAAAGTGGAAACACATACAAATACAAGGCAAAAGTTATGCCATTTTGGCCGCTATGATGCGAAAGCGAAGCTGTTTTGTCAAAATAGTTTCGTCCCGGTCACTCGGACTGGAGTGTTCATTCCGGTTACCGAGATCTCGGAAACCGAGCAAGCCGGGTTGGCCGGGCTCATAAGGCGCTAAATGCAGCTGCCGGTGTCCCCTCAGGTATGTTATCCCCTGTTAATCAAAACTGAATGTGACATATGAAGTTTGAAAATCATGAAATCTTGTGAAATGAATTCTTTATTGAAATAACATAAAAGTACTAAATTTCTCTATATTTTGCTTACAAGAATTACCTCTTATTAAAATAAGTTCAATGTGACGATCTTTTTCCCACAAATTAAATATTGCCAGGAGCCATAATCTCCTGATATTGCACATTTTGTTATAAAAAATGAGCACATAAATATAACAATTGTTTTGAAATCATATCAAATTATCAACACCTTTTCCTTGGTCTGGTCAGTTGTCTTGATCAGAAGCTTATCATCCCGTTCGGGCCGTTAAGCTTCTGATTTGATAAAATCACTCCAATAGTACACATGCCATTACCCCAAAATGCTTTGGAAACGAAAGAATATCGAGGTCGAAATGTATTATGGACCAAAATATAACAAGACNACAAGATTATTGAGCCTTTGCGCTTTCCTGCCAGGTAGCACTTTGGACGACACTTTGGACGAGAATAGCCACGTTCCTTCTTTTTCTTTGGCGGGACTGAATTTACGCATGCTCAAACATTTACATAATGTATGTATTAGATTCGACGCGGCAGAAATTCGACGTTTGAATCGGTGTGACATTTCTATCGGATCATGCGAAAAGACCAGTCGAACGCGTGGCAGAAATGCGGCACCCGGTTGAGACGTCCAATTTCTTTTGAATTTAATGAATTTAATTGAATTCGACACGGCAGAAATCTCTGTATGAACCGGGCCTAACTTCCCTAAGCTAAATGTCCATTTCTTTTCAAATTATCCGTCTTATTTATTTTACTTTTAGTTTTTTATTTCTCGCAAAATTAAAGTAATTGATTCGATTAAATATACACAGGGTTCTCATTGGCTCATTAGGCCAATTAGTATATACCACACAAGTGAATAGTGCTTTTCGCGCGCTCTGATTGGTTAACTCCGAGGTAATTAGCAAGTACTATTTACCTCCACTTCGGTGAATAATTGTTAATTATTTCAAATGGTTTTGATTTATTCTCTTTGGTTGATCGACTTCACATACCCTCCGTTTTTGTGCAGTTTATCTGAAATGTCTTTAAAAATATCGAACAAGCGGATCTAATGTCTGATAGCACTGCAGTTGCACCAGTTGTAAGAGCTGCAAAATAACCTTTAAAGAAATTCACCAATACGCATTTATGACCAAACCGAATAAACAAGCAAAACGAGGGAATCTCCAAAAACGCAATTAATATGTATGCAAATCACTACGTACGGATGTCAAATGGCAAGTCCTGTTCTATTTTAAGGTGGCTGGTAACAGTTTCAAGCACTTTCCAGCAGTCATACTTTGACTTTTCAGTACTACCACTCTGGTAAACTGGTGATGCTGCAATATAGGTCTCCCATAAACGCCTGGTCATTGGTGAAAAGGTTGGTAACCTAACTATGATAACCTGTTGCATATACGCCATGAAGACGACTGCAACATGTTCAACAATGAGTGGGCAGTTATGCGATACCAATATTGTAGCATCCCTTGTTAAAGAGTGGTAGTA